ATTGTTGAAATTGTTGGCGTTATCGAAACCTGCTTGCCCGAAACCGGTTTGCCCACCGAAAGCGCCTTGACTGAAAGCAGCCGATTGGGCACCGAAGCCACCCTGACCTCCAAATCCGGTCGTTTGACCGCCGAAAGCGGCCTGGCCAGCGAAACCAGCTTGACCAAAGTCAGTGCCGAAGCCAGTCTGCTGTCCAAAACCGGTTTGACCAAAGCCACCCTGTCCAAAACCAGCTTGCCCGAAACCGCCCTGTCCGAAAGCGCCCTGTCCGAAAGCGGCTTGAGCTCCAAAGCCGGTCTGCTGGCCACCAAAACTTCCTTGTCCAAAACCACCTTGTCCAAAACCAGCTTGACCAAAACCGCCTTGAGCCCCTCCGAACCCGGTCTGCTGGCCACCAAATCCGGCTTGTCCAAAACCAGCCTGGCCTTGTCCGAATCCAGCCTGTTGTCCGAAGCCGAACCCAGTTTGACTAGCGGAACCACCAGCCTGACCTGCGAATCCTTGTTGTGCGAATCCGCTCGCGAAATTCTGTCCGGCAGTACCAAAGCCCTGATTGTTGAACGCCATATCTAACCGATGAAAATCACTGAACGAATCGAGCACCGCACGACCCCTTCGACTGCTTCGCTAAAAGCGTAATGGAGACAAGCACCATTTCGAAGCTATTTATACTCTTCGTCTAAACAAATTCTTCTGCTCACCTGGCATTGCAACATCTGCAACTTAACTGAAGTATTATATTAAAATGCAAAATTTTCCAGTTGTTTTGCTATTAGAAAATTCCGATTGCAAATTTTTGCTCTTTGCGAAAATTCAAAATTTGTTCATTAATCAGAATTTACAATTTTTTGATCAATTCATAATTGATTTCATCGCACTGATAATTGAATTTGTTTTGCAATCAACCTCGAAGAATCATTCCGTCTCACATTCCCCACGACCAATGAACATGGACGAACCGTGACCGGACAATCTGCCTAAAGACGTTTTGCCTAACGACAGTTTGCCTAAAGACACATTGCCTAACGGAACGTTTGCCTAAGGAACAGTTTACCTATTAGGCGAGATAACCATTAAAAAACCGCAAGTTAGGCAAACTGTCGTTAGGCAAAATGTCTTTAGGCAGATTGACCGGGTACCGTTTATTGCATCTTCCTTCTTCATGAGTAATTGAACTTGCTGTTAAATTTCTTTTTTTTTCATCGCCGAAGGATGTTTTTTTTCATTGCTTTTCGTTTTTGATGGCCGGGGCTCATGCTGTTTCTGCAATGGATAAATAAAGTTGAGGAAGTACTTGATTCATTACAGAAAATTAATTTCTTTCATGCCACTGACGAATTTCTGGACCGGTTCTCTTTTTGTTCCTGACGCTA